ACGAGTGGCTAAGCATTACCTCCGGGTCACTTCTGTTGAGTGCTGTGCGTGTTTTAAAAATGCCACACGTTTACCAGAACCTCGCACCCGCGTCTGTGTTTGACCTCGTGCAGCTACGGTTATCAGTCTGCGTTCTGTGCTCCTGTGGCGTGCCTGCGTTAGACGGGGCTGGGGTGTGGCTTGCTCCACCTCCGCGGTATACTTTCTTCATTTTCCACATCTGCTGGCTTCTGGTCACACGATCAAGGACTGCACTCTTTCTGATTTACGCCAGAACCTCTTCGCTTTACAAGCTGCAACTCGGGTCTAAGTCGAATTGAGACAGCGCACGTTCGAGAGCCCGAAACCGGCTATACGCTGTGTAGCACGCGCACTCGGTGTGCTCCTGAATGCAGCACCCGCCGCGGGGACCTATATGCGATTCGGGAGTGACATAGCGTGTTGTCCCCCATTGATTTGTTGGCGAGCTTCTAGCAAGCGCCGTACACAGTGGCACCGAAGTGTACTACATATAAGCCGTAGCTTCAAAAGCAAAGCGTAACCAGCAGCTGGTGGGAGCGGGCTGCTGCAGCCGATAGTGGCTGTTGATGCCCCTTCAGCTGTCCGTGAACTCGGAATGAGCGTGCGGTCGTAGGCAGTGAGCACTGAGCACCAGCGTCGGCTGCTCGCCTTCCTCAGGCTTTTTCTTGCCTCACAAGCTCTTAACCGCCCCCCCTTAGCGCAAAGGGGGGGTAATATTATCGTGTTATGGCAAAAAGAATTTGTATACTTGTGCCGGGCATGGACAAGCAGTTGGCCCTCTCCCTTGAGGGAACTTCAAGAAAAGTCACTTCTGTTGTATAGCTGTTGCGCGCGTAGAGGCAGCTTCGGGTGGTTCAGATGCTGGCTAAGCTATTCTTCAGGCTGGGCGCCGCACCGCCGGACGTGCAGAAGGAGATCTACTAGTGCACGCCTGTGGAATGGCCATTTTGGAGAAGCGCTTTCTCTGCCCTGATCTGTAGTCCCCGCGTATTAGTACAGCACCGTCCAGGACCTTCCACTGGCGTCTTCAACTCGCTTTCTCAGTGCTTTGGAGCTCTGCTCTCGTGGCGCGAAGTCACTGGGAAAGCAAACCGTGATGGCCCGTCCTGTACGCCCTTCGCGACGTTACTCGTTGGCGTCCCGCCTTTGGCGCGAAAACTATGGAATGGTGCGCAGGTGACCGCCACAGTGCCTGTCAAGTTACGTCCTACTTGCAGTCTGGGGCCCTCCGCGTTTGAGGGAGAGGCGGACGCAGTTCTGTGCGGGTCGCAAACGCATTCACAAGGGCTCAGTCAGAACGAGTGTTGTATAAACGGACCCGGCGCCCTCAATGGAAGGTGCTTGGAGGGTGAGGTTTCTTGGGTGTAATAATTAGCGCCCAACGCGGACGCCGAAGTTGACAATGACATAGGGTTTCCGTCCTGCTGGGCTGTCACAGACCTTGGCTGCGACCGTTGTCCTGCCGTGCACGCGGAAGCCTCAAACAGGTCTTGCTCTATAGCCGGCGTGGGCACAAAGGCAGCTGAACTATATTTATATCTGGAAAACCCTGGTCAATCTGGCAGCGCACAGGTACTCGCCCTTGGACGCCAGGACGCGGCTCTCGCAGCGGATGGATACGAGTTCGGCTGCTAGATTTCGATTCCTCAACCGCAGGCGGGCTACGCAGACAGAAGGCACACAGGCAATGTATGCGCCGAAGTAGACGAGCTTCTTCACGGAAGTTGTCTATTACGAATGACGTCCACATAAGAGATTCTCGCTCTTGCGAAAGCAAAGAGTACAAACAGCGCGTAGGCCGGCGGGGGTGTTAACATCGTGACCGAAGACCCGCTTTCATGGGCTATGAGGCAAGGGCTCACTAGAAGCCGGATATTGAAGACGAATTTCGTAAAAAACTTGTACTGTGGGATAACCGCCTCATGAAAGTGCGGTTGTCATACGTGCGCACACGACTGGAGTATACACATGAAAAACTTATGTTTTGCACACTCTCGAAAAACTATGCGCGACAACAGCTGATGGGTTCCAGTTGGCGTCTGGGATGCTTGTTAAAATAGCGTCGGGGCCCCCTGCCGGCGGGAAGCGGATGAATGCATTCTTTGACACATGTGGTTTTCTATAAGAGCTGCGCTATCATCCGTTTCATAACCAGACAACCCGTCAGTTCACACAGAGGACCTTGCTGACTTCTGAAGGGATGCGCAGCACCATCAGGACTGCCATATGAGAGCAACTTCGCACGAGACTTTCAGCGGAGGAGTCGCGCAGCGGTGCTCTGGTCGATTCCTGCAATAGAGGACAGTGAGATCGCTTTGTTCAGCCGTTCACAGGGTTGCGGAACCACCAATGCATCTGGCTTACCATCTTCCTGCATTCACTCCTGGGGGGGAGCGTTTGCTTGCTGGCTAGTGTTTTCAAGGTGCTTTTTCTTCAGGCTCAAATGAGGTGTCAAAGGATACAGAATATGAATATACGATCGGGAGTTTGGATTGCTCCCCTCATTCCTACGCCGCACGCAGGCAGGACGTGTAGAGGAAGATCGGTGCAGCGGGTGTCTGTGTGCGCACTGTCTTTCGGATACTCCTTCTTCGAAATATAGGAGAGCATACATGCTTACCGTTAGCGCCCGAGACGATAAGTCTAACGTCCACACGTTAGACTTGATGAACGTCTTGGACAAGCACGCTTGCATGCGTACACATGGCCGGCGTTCGATCGAAATCGATACATGCACAGCCAACACCCATTCGCGACGCACATTCACGGGTGAGCAGAGTGACTATTCATTTCAGGCATGCTGTGCGCACAACCGACAACCGCCAGACCCGTCTTCTTCTGCTAGTTCTGCCTGCGTGCGGGCGTTAGTGTTGAGAGGAAAGGTTCAGAGCTTGGACGAAATATAAGAGGCTGGGTTTCGTGGTGTCTGCTAGAATGTATGTAGGCTCAACGCACGCTTGCAGGCGGCGCAGTGCACGCAGGCAATGTGTTCCCCACAATAGATGGCGGCCAGAACATGGTGGCGCAGGCAAACCGGCAGAAAAACTGCCTTCCGCGCCCCTCGATCGATCTTGGAATCAAACGGGACTGCAAAATATCGATCACTTTTGTTTCTGCTCTGGGAGGACTGTGAGAGCCAGGCCGCTATTTTTTTCTCGATTTCTCTTATTGTGAAGCGGGAGACACACATTTTCTTTTCCTTCTTGTTCTGTGGAACGCCGTTTCGTACAGCGCTTACGTTGGAAACGCGTGCCAAGTCGTTGTGGTCTGGTATATTCGTAGGCCGAGATCCCACCAATGATTTGAGTTGAAGCGTGACGAACGGACTGTTTCATTCGCAAACGGCTGGGGCGGCCTACCCGTCTTCAAATGCGCGCTCCTCCTCGGGGAAAGCGGCTCAGGCATGTGCGAAAAGAAAACGATGTAATCAGCCGCGGGTGCGAGCGCCGTGGCTGCCCATACATGCCCGGGCTGAAAAAGTATTTCGTTGAGCTTTATCCCAGCTTGTAGCCCACCCCGTGTATTTTTTAGGAGGGAGGAGTCTACTGAATCCTCTAAGCCGGAGCACCGCCCGGCAGAGAGCACTTCTCTAGATGGAGCAAGCGCGTGTCTCCTCCCCTTGCACAAAACCGTTCCTGTCTCTACATGAAAATTATCATTGAGCTGTCTGGAGTCTTTTTCGTTTCGCTTAACATTCTGTTCTTCGAGTCCGCGCCCGGTATTGACAATCGCTCGTACGCATTACTCCAGCTTTGTGACACTCATGTACCAAGAGACGTACAGCCCGTATACGTTCAGCCGGCCGCTCACAACCGGTCACGTGCACGCAAAAAGTCTTTTGGACATTTTCTGTGCGTGGACAACTCCCAGAAAAGAGTGAGACAGGTGGCAAAGCTGCACATCGCTCAGCAATCCGAGAAGGGCGCTGCTCATCAAAGTTACAATCCTTTAGGCATACTTTTCCCTGTGTCGGATACCAAAGGGCTGACTGTCCTGTATGCGGCTTCTGTGCGTCTGGTGCAGCGTTCTGGGACGAAGTGGTGCTGGCTTGTGTTGAAAATTAATCGTCGGCTGCGTCCTGAACAGCAGTAGTTACGAGTCTATAGTCCCTTATTCACGTGGCGTGCGCAGGCTTCCTGGGACACCGACAGTGCGCGCCTCAGAACACGCTATGTCTGTCTTAGTTGTTTCCCTTTTCGCGGGACCCTGTAACGTGCTAGCGTTCGACTCAGCGACAATATCGCTGTACATCCCGTGCTCGCGATCCAAAAATGCTGGCGCTCACTAGTTCCCGTCGTCGCGGGAGGTTCCCATATATCGCTCAGCCTCTCCTCCAAAAATTCCGGGGAAGCATTTGTGCCAGGATAACGTCTCCCTTTGAACTGCCGCGGGGCCTAGCGCCCCCTGGCACACGACGTTTGGAGCGAAGTGGTCCGCACCAGCCTCTGTGAGTAGAGAGCATCATAGAAAAGGACGGTGGGAGCATGGCACCGAATCGAGGAGCTCGTACACATACTTAGAATACCGCTGGCGAAGTGCGCAGGGCCCACAGTGCCCGGCTATAGTGGTACACACCTCCACACTCCTCCATACAATTACAAGATTACGCAGGGTGCGAGACGTCGGCGTCACGCACCAGAATTTCCTCTTCATAGGCTTTGAACAGCTGGGCCGAGCCTCAGGATCTGCCACAAGGAGTGCAGCAGAGCGATCCGAGCAGTTTCTCCAGCGGCTCGGGGGGTTGGGCCGCGCTGTGGAGGGTTACAGAAAAAAACTGTCGCTCCCGTACGGAGCACGCTTGCCCTCGGGATGGCCGAGCGTTTCCTTTCACAGGGCGGAGCCGCTGAATATGCCTAGTACGCGCCCTCCACCCCGGGACCGCGTGTGTCCTCTTGCCTTCTCCTTGGGTGATAGGACCCGCCTTGCCACTCCCGCGTACAATTTGGAAAAGCGACTCGTGTCCAGTGCACATCTGCAGTTCACTTGAGCGTAGGCTTATCCCCCGGCGTGTCCGTGGCGGCCGGCGCTGCTGCTCCTTCGACACCGGGGGCTTTTGATTTAAAAACGTTCCGCGGACTTGCGCGGTACACGTTTCTGCCTCGCGTGGTGTGCCAAGAATCCCCCGCTTTCCGGCGCACTGTTTTGCGGTATTGGGCGTGGGCAGTCCTGCATGTGTGCGTATACGCGTAGGCGAGCGCGTGACTAGAACGGTGATTGGTGGGACAACACCGATTTCTGCTCCTGGCGTACGCAGCTGAGGCGCGAGCGAAGAAATTGTCAGCGTAAAAAATACTTCCCCACGTAGCTTGTGACTTCATCCCACGTCAGCCGTAGCAGGTCGCTTTGCGGCACTGTTGCGCTTTCCACAGAAATGACCTTCAACAGCGCAGACGAACCCGCCGAGGACCGCAGCGGCACCTTGCAGAGCAGCAGAAGATGCTGCGGGGCCTTTCGCCGCAAAACAACGGTAGATGAAAGCGCGCAGTCGACTCCTTCAACCATGAGCCAGGTAGAGATTATTTCCAGAGTTCAGCCTTTATCGCGCGAATGCACTACAGGGCTGCAACACCCCGCAACACGTGGGAGGCAATAGCAAAAGCGCCCACCAGCGGGGACAGCCTCACTTCGACAATACTGCCACCACCAGGTTTTATCAGTAGAAGCACCCAGGCCGTCCGGTCGGAGCGGCGAGTAGAAGAGAAGGGCGACGCAAAAGTCCAGATGAAGCATGAGCATGTATACTTACGGTATGTGTGGCTCAGAACTCTGTATACGCCGGGACAGGGGCAGAACCGAACTTCGTTCAGGTACCTGCGCGCACGTACAGTACACGGATTTCTCCAGAAACGAGCGCGTTGCACTGGGAGATTGATGCCCGTGCGGCGTTGTGTGCATGACGTCAAACTTTATTCTGGTACGTGGGCGCACTTTGCGAGGTACGCAATTATCTGGATTTGAGCGCGTTGTACTGGTAGTTGCGCGGCGGCGCAGACTCGCGGGCATGACACGTAGTGTCTCCTTTGCGTCCCTGTGGTCTATTACAACACGCCGGTGCGCATTTCCGAAGGTCCATAAAGGTGTTATCATACGTTCTTCAACTTTCTGGAAACTTTCTCCGCTAGAAATGCATACCAGTCTACCTTATCCTCTTCTGCTCACTAGATGTCACTGCATGGACCCAAAGGAGTTGTCAAAGCAGCTTTTGCATTGATATGTTCTTCATCTTCCTTGAAATGTTCTCCGCAAAAAATGCATACCAGTGTAGCTTTCCCGCTTCTGCTCACTGGATGACACTACATGGACGCAAAGGGATTGCGGAAGCAGCTTCTGCATTGATGGTCTGCATTGTATCGCCGTGTGTCTCTTTCACTATTGGCAGCTTCGCTCTCGCACCCTGCGTGCTACGCCGCCGCTGTCAAACCTGAAGACTTCCTTCTCTTTCCAGACCCTTTCGTTGGATGGCTCTCCGTGCTGTGCTCCGCTAGAACTCCTAGCAAAATACTTTTTCCCCTAGCGGTCGAGTGGCGAGATATGGAACGTGAGTCGGGACGGGCGTCATCCAGTCTCACACTGACCTCCGCTGCTCTGGTAATACGTTTCCCAAGCAGCGCTGTGTACCCCAGCAATCTTGCGAGTATGTCAGTGCACAGCGCGCGAATTTGTGTATATACTACTTCAAATACGTACATCCGCCCTCCCCACTACTCGCACTGCTGAGGTGTGCGCGTGTGTCCCTGGCGTCACACGGAGTACCGGCGTGTGAAAGGACTGGTTGAACGCTTTGCGGCCCACAGTTTCCACGAGAGCACTGGCGTCTTTTGCGATGTTGAAGGCAATCCTGTGGTATTGCCGGTGTGCAAGCAGGCGGTGCGCTCCACAGAGTGCGTTTCGAGCTTTGTTCGCAGGGAGGCCTGCGAGTAGAGGCCTAACCCAATGCACATGCGTAGCGGGAGCTGATGGCGCACGAAACTGTGCAGCCTTCGTCGACAGGCTAAGGCCTCCCTGCCAACGAGGAGTCTAACGGAGCCACAACCTCACCAGCACCTCGCGCACAGGCCGGGTGCTCCACGCTGTAGTGTGAAGCCGGATAACTTTTGAAGCAGGGCCTCTAAGCAGTAGGCGTTATGCGGTGGCCGTAACCGTGCAGGGCCAATTCTTGTGTATGCAGATTCACGAAGATACTGAAAACCAGAATCTATCTGTTCAAGAGCAAGTGCTCTTGACGACGCGGAATGACAGCCGCGTTGCCGTCGCCGCATTTCCGTGAGACATGCATGGTGGCCCAGGAGCTTTTGTTTCGGTATCTGGGGTTGTTAAACGACAGTGCCGGATTTTCGTGAGACATGCGTGGTCGCCCAGAAGCTTTTGTTTCCGTATCTCGGGTTGCTAAGACAGTGCCGGCAGGTGCAACGGGAGGTGTCCGCTCTTTTGGTCTGCCCTTTGCGTCAGCAGCCTCGCACGTTTCTGAGCGGCGCTTCGGCCTCGGCAGCCGCGTTTTTGTCGGTGTACGTCGCAATTTTCCGTGCAGAGTGGCGGGCACGCAAACTAGACAAGTCAACGTCCGGGAGCCTGTGGCGGGCGGAGAAGCCACACGCCGGGGCAACAGCATGAAGCCTGTATCCATTCAAACACGCATTTGCTTAGGCCATAACTAGCAGGAGGTGCCGCGGCTGTATCTGTACGTCTGATACGTCGAGAGATGCGGGCGCGAACACCTGCCGGAGCGCCGTCGACACGACCATGGCAGCTGCGTTAGTACATTTGCGCCCGAGACGCAAGCACGTCGGTGGTCAGCTTCGACACTCGGTGGCACAGGCGTCTGGAGCCCCTTCCAGCTAGCAGGCTGCTGCGGTACGGACAATGGCGAGAAATCGCAATGAGCCGCACAAGCGAGGCCATCTCTGGCCACTAGCAGCAAAGCCCGATGCATGGGTAGCTTTACAAAACGCGGACGAGGCCACCTGGAAATTAACAAGACGGGAGAACTGCTTTTAGGACTGCACGGTTCTGACCGCGCCTGCCACACTGTGTGGGGTATGCATCAAGGTTATGGAGTCCGGGGGGGACAGCTGGAGGGCACGGACCCGCAACGGGGTGGACGGCGACAAGTTTACGATGATGCAGTCCCGCATGTGGTGGAAGAATCACGCACATGGCCGACTTCTTTATCGGCTCCAGGGTGTCTTTGCGATGGCGCTCTCTTCGAGCAGAATACGCCAGGCGTCCCTGCGCAACGCCTCGCTTCCCTCCCTGCCACAGTCCTTGCCTAGGCAGGCTGCGGGAAAGCAGCGGAGCAACAGTCGCAGCGTGCTAGCAGAGAAGTCCACAACAGTCGGGCTCGGCATACGAGGCTACATGCAGAGCAGTCCACAGAACGGACGCACTACGCAGCCGCCTTGTGCGCCTGTGGCTGCTGAAGGTGCCACTGGGGAAGAAGCGCACGGAGGCACGCTTGATGCAATAGTTCAACGACGCGAGGCCTTTGGATGACCGTCTAATATCTGAGGAGGTCTCGAGGGAGCCCACAAGCCGCTGCCCTACGCCTGTTCTGCCTGCTTTCCGTTTTTGCATTTAGGGACGGCCTTTATTTGAACATGTTAGTGTATTCGCGATCACTGCGCCGGGACTAGCACGCTATGAGCGCCACCAGCGCCCAAGGCAAACCAGTCCTTTTGAGGACGACTGTAAGCTGAATTCAAGCCCATCACAGCGCAGAACCAGTCACTGTGACACTAGCAGCAGGGGCATTCCTTCCCGCGCCGGCCTTGTCGGCAGTGCCCGCTGGTTGATGCGGCTTCAACGCTTGTTCGCGACGCATCATCAGTGTGTGCAAGCACGACAGCGTCATGGAGCAGGAATGGTGGGCGCGCACGTAAGTGGAAACAAGTCGGGAGACGTGAAGCACAGAGCGAGCGGGCCTACAGCACGCGGCATCCAAAGCAGGGTCCCTAGCGTCACACTCGTTACCGGCTTGTGCGAGGGCCCACTCAACGCCGCGCGGCGAACAGATCGCCTCCCAGCTTCCCAAATAGCCCAGGTGCCTTTCGCAATGAGGAGCGCAATCCTTTGGTGTTGTCGCCCTGCAAGCACGCGGCACGCTTGACACAGTTCGTTCGGAGCTTTGTTCGCACGGAGCCTGCTGGTGGAGAGACACATGAGGTAGCGCACACACCTAACGGGAGCTGGTGGTCCACGAAGCCGTGCAGCCTTCGTCCAGAGGCTAGCACGGCCCTGCTGGCGAAGAGCGTGACGGAGCTACAGCTTTACCAAAACCTTGCGCACACGCCGGGCGGCTCCACTATCCAGGGTGAATCCAGATAAGTTTATGAGCACAAACTCCAAATACTAGGCGTTATGCGTTGGCCGTAACCGTGCAAAGCCAACAACTGGGTACGCAGACCGACGGCAGATTTTCAGAAGCAAGTCTACGTGGTCAATAGCGAGTGCTCTTCACGACGCAGAATGACCACGGGTTTGCCCTCACCGGATAGCCGTGAGACATGCATGCTGGCCCGGGAGCTCCTGAAAGGCATTGACGGCCGGTGCAACGGAGAGTGCTTGTTCTCTCTAATCTGCCGTCGGTCAGCAGCCTCGCACTTCTATGGGCGCTATTCCTGTCTCGGCAGGCGCTTTTTACCCGCACGTTTACCTGTGTGCGTCGCCAAGTGCGGTGCACACAGGCGAGCATGCAGAGGAGAGACGCCCGCCCCCGGTATTCTGTTGTGGGCGGAGAAGCCACACGCCGTAGCAACAGCAAGACGTCAGCACGGGTCCAGGCAAGCATCTGCCGAGCGATAATCAGCACGAGGTGCCACAGGTGTACACCTGCACCCCATACATCAGCGCACACGAGTGCTACCGCCTGCTGGAGCGCCATCAACATAAGAACGGCAGCATCGTTAGGATATGCGCGCTCGACATGTAAGCCCGTCACTTCTCAGCTTCAGTACATGGCGAAACAGGCGTCTGGAGCAGCTTGAAATTAGCTGGCTGCTGCTAAGCGGCAGCAGCGAGAAACCCTAGTGAGCCGCAGTAGCGAGCACACCTTTGTGCCTAAGCATAAAGTTTCGATGCACTGGTAGCTTTTTGAAATGCAGACGCGGCTACCCGCGAAGTGAAACGAGGGAGAGAACTGGCTTCGTGATCGCAAGGTGCTGACGGCGTCCACCATATCGCGTCGGGTACTCGTGAGGGCGACGAAGATCACACGAGACAGCAGAAGACCATCTACCTTCGATGGCGTGGATAGCCTCAACTCGGTGATAGCGCAATCACGTCTGTAGTGCCGAAGGGACTGAAGACACAACCGGCCCCAACTCCTTCGCTGTCTCCTGACTGCCTCTGCGGTGGCACTGTCTTGTAGCGGGCCCCAGGCGCCCGTGCCAAAACGTCGTGTTTCCCGTCCTGCCGCGGTGGTTGCCGAGGGAGGCTGCGCGAGACCGACGAAGCGAGAGCCGCAGGGTGCTGGCACAGGAGTCCACCACCGCCAGACTCTGCATGCATGGCTACATGTAGGGGCGTGCCCACGAAACGAATGCGGATTGCTGCCGCTCTGCGGAGCTGGGGTGGCTGAAGGCACCACGAAGGGAGAAGGGACGGAGACGCGCTTGATGGAGTGACGCAAGCACGTGCCGCTTTTGGAAAACCTCCTCGGTAGAGCTCGCAACATCGCGTGAGCCACACAAGCCGCTGCTCTATGCCTGTTCTTGTTTCGACTGCTCTCCCTTGTTGCATTAAAAAATGGCCTTTGCCTGAACACGCCACCGTGATTCCGATCAGTGCACCCAGACTAGCAAGAAATGATCGCCACAGCTATCCTCAGATAAGCTGAATTGTAGCGCAGCGCAGCGCGACGCGAATCATCGTGGCACGAGCAGCAGGGACACTTTTTCCCCTCTGCCCTAGTCTGCAGTGTCCGCCGCGTATCAGCTTCGTCCGTGACGCAGCATCGGCATTTGCAAGCACGGTGGCGTCTTCGGGCACGCACATAGATGGAAGCGGGTGGGGAGACGTGACCCACAGAGCGAGCAGCTGTTAGCGCACGCGAAAATCATGCTTAGAGTCGCGATCTGTCTCCCAGAGAACGAAACCAGCGAAGCGGGAGGAGACGGATATACGTATGGTGTTTTGTTCCCCTTATATGCAAGGTCTCTCTTTGAGCGCACAGCAAGCAGCCGCTTCTATGTGCTCTACTCTCGCGTGGCGCACTGCGTACCCAAGGGTGACTGCACAAATCCAAACACGCTGATATGGACAGACAAGCATAGATAGGTGTGTGAACATGAGGGATATATGCCTGCAAACCCTTCAACGTTCCTGGCGAAGAGCGCGGCAGCGGAGCTCACGGTTGCGGTGCCCCCGTGCAAACCACGCGACGATCTGTGCAGGCAAGGAAAGAACAGATGATCTGCCAAGCAAAAGGTGGGGCTAATAGAGCAGCAGCATGAGTACTTGGGAGCGCGAGATGCAGGATACTTACCAGGCACCATTGTGGCGTCCTTGACTCGTTCTAAAATCAGCAGCAGCGGCCGCGCCCTGTGCAGCCGTATGCGCGCGCCCGGCGTACAAGTGCTACAGCAGCGGATGTAATGTATACTAAGGACGGAGAAATTTCACGAATGTCTCTTCTAGCATCCGTCTCCAGACCTAATTTATGGCAGTGACAGAGTTCCCACCGTTCAGCTAGGCTGCTGTAGGCACGCTGACCCCCAAAGCGTGGCACGCAGGTGCAGCAGCAGTGAACATAGAGGCGGAGGCTCCAGCAGTTATGGCACTCTTCGCGCTAAAATGTGGTGAGCAACAGCACCTCCCACCACAGCCATGGGCTCAAAATTTGAGGCCTTCAGCAGCCTCTAGACGGCGCCAAGCGTCATGAGCAACTCCGCCCAGGACGGCTTATGCTGGTCGAAAACCAGCCCCGACGCGTGAAACCTCCGCATCGGAAGCTTGCACACGAATCGCACCTGCCTTACGACCCCTACCCGCAGAGCGGAAGACGGAAGCGCCTGACACTGTTTCTAACCCGTGAGTAAGGTTGCCGCCAGCGATAATACGTATCCGGGCATGCGATTTGCATACAAAAGCAGAAGCCGCGAAACATAGGGATACAACCCACGTTGCTAGAACAACAGAAAAGCGTATACGTGAGCTGCGCAACCGGTCAGCTCGACGTTTGAACAGTAACGTCTACGCTCCTCTGTGCGTCACTTTTTATACATATGGGCGTACATGCGGGTACGGTGATGTAGTCTGCATGCGCTCGGGTCTTTGTAGACAGCCGAAGAACACTCCACATTGCGTACAGAGGGGCTGGCGCGGGCAACACAAAATGATGAATTCGTAATACACAGTTGAAGGGGGAGGCTGGGACGAATATCGTGCAGTGACACCCGCCACGTGTTCTGCGCGGTTGTAAGACTTATACCGTTTCGCGAATTTGATTGAGGGGAGGTGTGGCGCGCTGCGAAGTTGCCCTCGCGGCGGCAATGCGTCGTAAGCGCTGTAGTACGCCCGCACGTGACTATAGAAGACTCCGTGACTTGAAGCAGAATTCCGACGAGGCACCCACATCCGGTTATATGGGCGTCTGTAGACCGTCTGCACAAGGAGGGGATGCCTAGACTCATGCTGGAGGGCGACGGCAGAAAGCTCCGCTGCGGGTGTACGATGCGTCCAATGCGGAGTTATGCGGGTCTTCTACGGAGACGAACCAGCGGCGTTCTGCGTACGGCAGTTTCCGCAGCAAGCCACTGTTGCGAGCGAAAGGCCGCCTTGTCGAGCAGCGACTCAGTTCCGAAACACACGTGAATACCAATTAGGTTAAGAACCGTGCATGCGTGGGTGGCCGCAAACGCATACTTCTCTGATGCGCCTACAGACCGCCCCAACATCCCTGAGTAGCACTGTGGGCAGCTAAATGTAACCTCTAGCGTTGTCCCTGCACAAAGGAAAAGCAGACGGCAGCAGCGAATAGACCAGGAGGGGCAGCACGGCCGAAAGAAAGCTCGCGAGACGGCGCAGCTAGCCCCGTGCTGTACACTGCGGCGCGGTGGGCGGTTCTGCACTACGTGTTCGCACCTGATGACGCAGGCGACCCAGAGGTGGAGCCGCACAACTGCTGGGCAATCCGTATGAGACTTGACTTCCTGGGGCCCTTGTAGCGTCTCCAGGATCAGAGCGCACCTGGTCCCGATACACTCGTAGTCACCCAGCATTTCGCCACGCGGCTCAGCGACGGTAGTCACGCTAACCTCGGTACATATGTCGAACTCGCAGAGCCTGTTCTCCACGTTTGGGCCGCGTCCGGCGTCTCCTGGATTTTGTGTCCAAGTGCGTAATTCTACGAGCACGCCTCCTCCGTCTGCTCGCGTTGCCTCGCGTACGCACGTATCCATATCGCTTCAAGCGTACGCGCGCGGCTTGCCACAAGATTTCAAGCCACACAACGGGGTCATTGTTGCACGGTGGAGAGTGCCTCGCCATGCTGAATGCCTTCCTGTCGCCGCGCACGCAGCTCGCTCATTTGCTCTTCGTATATGTACCACTGACCCCCGCTGGCGTGAGCGGCTACGAAGGCTAAGCAAGCATACGCACGGATGACTGTGCCACGGCTTGGACCGCAGGCAAGGAACCCGGCGGTGTGTGCCAACGAAGCAACAGGGGAGTATACAGCGGCGGGCACGCTATTGGACCCTACTGCTTCCCTATAGACCGCCCCATGTGGTATGCCCAGCAAGCGTCACGAAATGAACTGGTAGCAGCCTCAACAAAGCTCACCCCGACAGCAGGTGCGATCGCTGCTTCTGTTGAAGCGTGCAACCCGAGCAAATACAGTGCGCCTTGACACATCCACGTGTAGCGGATGTGTCAAGGTGACGCAGCCAGTCTCCTGGGATGAATTCATGCATATTCCACGGGCGACGAAGAGCTGCCTGTGGCCATCCTGCGATGACGCTGATAGCTGCGCTCTACGTGGGGCGGCTCAAGGCGATACAAAAACAGCAATATCGACCGTATATGCCGCCGGCTAGCTGCCGTTGCCCACGTTGTATATGCGTTTCCATCGGAGTCTTTTTGGTGCCAGGCTAGCGAAGAAATCAGCCGTAACCCCTGCAGTAAACCTCCCGACACGCTGGGTACGATCCGCTCTCAGTGCGCCGCCGAAGCTCCACATATTGGCTGTTCGATCGCGTCTCCGTCTTACCTGACGAAAGGGTCGCTACTGTGGACGCCAACTAGCAGGTTGGACACACTCTAACCTGATTTGTCCTTGCGCTCCGCCTGCGTATACATCCGGCGCTATCGGCGCGCACCCCTTACACATAGAATCTCTTTCTTCAAGTAAGGCGGTGGTCGAGCACCCACACTGCGCGCATGCATGCAGGGTCCCTTCCCTACGCTCGTATGTCCAAAGTGAACCCGGCAAACAACTTCGATCGGATCTCGTCTTCGTCGACTGCCGCTGCTTACTTCTCTCTCCCGTGGGCTGGGCGTAGCAACTGGGGGGTAGCCGGCATTGGGGAACCATTGAGAATCTCGCGCACACTTGGGTCGCTTCATCGACTTCACGTCACACGCGGGAAGCGGCACTGTCACTCCTCCAGAGTTCTACGAGCTCCATTAGTCTGCGAGCTGCTACGACGGCTGCGACACACGCACCGTTGCTACCAGGGCTGCCTCAAGCACCTCGCGTGCACCTTTGAAAAATGCCTGTTGACGTGCTGCCATACATCGGAAAAAGAACCTGTTAATGCGCCGGAAGCCAGCGGAGGAAGCGACGCGATAGTGAGACGCGGGATCCTACAAGGCACTACAACCGCCACGCCAGCCCGCGCCAGTAGGCTCGGGCGTGGAGAACCGCGGATATGAACGATGTGTTTTACTGGAAAATTTTTAGAAGTGCGGAAAAAGGCGCGCTTCGTCAATTGGAAGCCCGCGCTGGGGCCACCTTACTACGAGTCTGTTTTGTATTCTCCGGTAGGAAACCTCCCGTTGCGACATACGGCCTTTGTCAACAATGTTGGGCGTGTCGCGCTGCCCCCTCGCTGTTGCACTTTTGTGCGCCACTTGCTCCAGCGGTCTGGTACGCGGAAGGAACACCGGCAGGTACGTAGTGAAACTCCGTAGCAGCATTTTGAAGCAGGCGGCACTTTAGAGCGTTTAGTTGGTTGCTGCAAGACACAAGGTTTACCATTGTGCTCGGCGTTAACTCTACTGAAGAACGAAAACTGCGCACTACTCCATTGTGTATGCCTGCGCAAAATGCAGACGGAACCGGCTTCCATCCAGCCCCCCAAAGGGCGCCAGAAAACGAGCCGCTTCAACCGCTCCTGCCCCCCTACCCCCCCCCCCCCTGTCTCCGACTGCAGTTGCATTGGTTCAACTTCTTGAAGGAGCTGTCGCCGCTGCGGTAGGGGCGCTTATACCCATTGACGAGGGGAAATCCCGACGGGGCTCCGGGTAACTCGCCTGCTGTGCCAGAGGCGGCGAATGGCGGCGGTGTGGAAGGGAGTAGCGCCTCCGATGAGGGACAAGGCGCCGCCGTCGTACAAGGTGATGACGCTGGACATGGCGATGACACTGATCAAGGCGATGGTATCGGACAAGGCGATGAGGCCGGGCAAAGCGATGACGCGGGACATGAATGAACGGACAGGGCGACTGCTCCGAGTCAGGCGGATGCGCCAACGAGACGTAGGCAGTCGAGCCGTTTGCTGACGTACGCGCAGGAAGGCGCAGCACTAATTTTTTCTGCTGCTGCCGTGCCGTCCGGGCGCCACAGGGACGTCTCGAAAAAAGCGGGACCGACTGGCTCCGCCTTCTTGCCCAGCAAACTGTCTGCGTCGTCGACACGGCTCTCGCCGAGGCGTAAGTGTGCTTTATACAATGGCAGCACTCTACTCTTGTGAGAGAGCCAACAGAGGCAAGCCACATGGTAGACTCGTTACGAACCCATACACGGTCTCAGCTCCAACTGAGTGTTCCAGGTTTCATGAGGATTTTGCTTTGAGTCCTGTACCGCTCAAGTTGTCGTTTTGGGTGCATCATATATGCGAAGGATGTGAACGTTCATTTATCGCATCATTATCGCAGTTATGTGGGTCGTACATTGCACCTGTGCATAAATGCGCGGCGGACACGCAGCCGGTGTGCACGTGACTGTGGATGAGAAAATTGTGCTAGCGTCGACTGGAGCAGAAAATCACCAGCGGTTGACGTGGCCCTACCATGTTCGCTGCGTCGCGTGGAGTGCTCTATTTGGACTTTCTGAGCGTGGACGTGGAGTGCGTGACGATAGTCGCGTAGTGGCCACTGAAGACTATCTTTCGTAAGGCTTCTTCCGCGCGCGCCACCCTCACTCAGTGGTGCAGGGCGGGCCTGCAAGCGCAACACACGCAAGGGCAACACAGTCTTTAGAACAGACGGCACCCTCGCTATCCATGATATGCTGTGGAGAGTATTAGCATCTTCTGGTGGAAATGTATGTTCTGGTGGCGAGTGACTACGCATAAGGACCTTGTCAGTGGTGCAGGGCGCTTCTCCCAGTCCAACGCACACACGGGCTACACAGTCTCTAGGGAGGACTGGACTCTCGCTATCTATGGTATGCTGCAGAGAGCATTAGCGTGTTTCGCTGGAACAGTAGGTTGTGGGAGCGAGCGACTACGCATAAGGACCGTGTCACGGCTGTCGTGAGCTGTGCCTATAAGGGCAATCATGGACTGACCGGTCCCCTATAGTTATTTTTGCTGTGATACCGGCACCACTGCCCGTCGGATTTCACGCGTACCTCTGCTGCGTGCCTGCCGTGAGACACTGCTGCCTCCAAGATCAACGTTGGGCAAATATTTGTCCTCAGCGTGATGGTGTCCTAGTCCCCCGCTTGGAAACAGAAGTGTTTGTTATCGTGTACAAGACTCTTTCCGTACTCTAGGTTGCAACGCGAAAGGGGAGCCTCTGAATGCCGTGAGCCTATAGTCTGTTGGCCGTTTTTTCCGCCGTGTAAGATGCGCTTGCGTTGTGCTCCCTGAAAGCGTCAGTGCGGCGGCTTCTTCGGGTGAACAGGCTCATACAGGTCCACTACAAACAACGTCTGGTTATTGTAGGTTGCTGGCGGCTGTCCGACGAGGGCTGCCTACGCTAGCACGGAAACGTGGTGCATAGCATTCTTCGAGAAAAAGCGTGCTGGTAGCGGAGCGGCATGATCACGGTACCGAACAATTGTTACTGGTAGCTGTCGAGCCCTTGTGATGCTGGAGGGGCGGGTGGATTTAGGCACGTTTTAAGGCTAGTCGCCACCAGCTGTCTCTGGTATCTCCGACCTTCCCTGCCTAATCCGTTCTCCGTCTTGCCCCTGATACCCTGGCGTAACAGCATATCGTATATGCTTTTGTTCGAAGACATCCAAACTCGTCAGCCTTGCGTAGTCCGTCAGGCTTGTGACCTTGTACGCATCGTATGAAATCAACTTCTGTTGTCTCAATGTGACGCTACGACCTAGTTTGCAGGCACTTACCGGAGATATCGTGCCTCTCGAATATTGTCACGGTACTCTGCAGAGTAGGTGCCAGATACCGGGGGGCACAGCCAAACCAGCCTTTGTGTGCGCGTCGTGAGCTTACTGCCTGCTGAGTTGTAAGCCTTGACTTGTGGCTTGTGCCGTGCTTATAAAGGCCTTGGAACTCGGCTTTCCTGGCACGAGAATACTGAGCGCCCATACTCTGCTGTGCTGTGGTGGATGCTCTTCGTGCTTGCGCTCGTGCAATCTCCGCTTTAGCGCCGGCTCAAGTGCAGGAGCCGGCAGAAGGCAGTCGTACTGCCTGTGAGAGCACCCTTGAGGGACAATCCAGGGTTTTCCCCGCTTGCGAAAGAGAGGCACGCTCGTTTGTGCTTTATGTGTAGCGAACTCAGAAGCTCTGGTCAAGCTTTACATATTTAGCTCGCAGGTTCCACTGGAAAATATCTTGAGCTACGTTTGTGAGCGCTAGGATAAACACGTAGGGCATATGTTTCAACGACGCACTCGAAAGCTCTGCCTCGTGGGGATTTCAGGAGACCTTGCCGCAGCCATTCTCCGCTACGGACATAATGATTTTTGTAGGTTTGCCTCGTAGACAGAGTCCACAGTGTGACGTCGCGGAAGCATTTATCGTAGCGCGAACTAGTCGGTCGTTGAAACAAATATGACGCGCCATCGGGCGGCCGGACGCTTATTACACAGTTTAGGGGCTGGATCCAGAACAGTTACGCGCGGAGGCAAGCACCCGGGGAGGGGATACGTCAGCTATTCAAGTCCTAAAGTAAAGGGCGGTTTCCTCGAAGTTATTCCTGTCGAGTTGCCTCCAACGGCATTTTTCTCTTCTGCTCTTTTGCGCGAACGAAGACAGACACGGTTTTCAACGGTGACAACAGCTTCAAAGTATTAAAGAATTGCGCGTCACTGGCGATAACACATATGCATCCTGCAGAGTTCTCCGTGGGAGCCTAGCGGCCTTTTATGTCAGACTGCACTTTATAAAGGCGCAGATCTCGAGGGTCTCCTCGCACCTAGCCCCTGTTCATAAACGTTACTCTAGTTCTACTGTCAAGGACTGACAGACGCCCACAAGTGGTGACTCTTGTTGCAGACTCTCGCTGTCAAGGCTTAGCTTTGAAACTCCTCGCAGGCGGAAACCGGCGAAGAGTGCGCTCTTTATCGAGGACTTTCAAAGCACCACCGTCTCGGCGGGAAAGGTGTTTTTTTGCATGTCTCGCATCCGGTACGCGTCAGACACACGGAGCAGCCTGTCGCTTTCCAAAGACTTAGGCTGCGCACCCCGGTCCACAACAGCTTTCCACGACGGCTGCAGCACGAGAGAGGCGCGCGTCAGTCATCTAGTCTATTTCTGCCGTAGAAGGCTGCAAGGCTGTTTGACGCTGCTCTGTAGGAGGTTATGGTAACAGTTGAGGCCCCTTCATTTTGGCGATGGCCCGCCCTAGTAGGAAGAGTTCCCTGCTATTCAGTTCTTCCTTAGAGTTCTTGACTCTATGTCTGAGGCCCCGCAGGAAGGGGCTCTGAATGACGGTGAAGTGCGCACGCTTCTCCTGCAGCGGTAGAGGCGGTCGAAAAGCACAACCGGGTTGACCCTATAGTTGGCCGAAGGGCGCTTGGGGCGCAACTGGCATCTACAGTTGGTGTGCACGCGCGGTGCTTGTCAACACGCAAGCAAGGGCCGCAACGTATGCTCAAAAATACGCCCCAGGACTATGGTGGAAGGATGTTTTGTGCAGGAAAGAGCTCACACGCACATGCACGCACCGAGTGGCCGGCGCTGGCGCACCATGCTCACGCGGCCTTCTGTGAGGCGCTGGAGCCCTACGCGTTGCGGGAAGGGGGAAAGAAGGGCAAACAGTACCTGTCCCCAAGCTGCAGCTTGGAGCACCCTGGCCCACGTGAAGTGTCTGTGCGCGTCTGTACTCCGCCTGCATCCGTAAAGATTTTTGCGGGCGGACGTAATGTTCTACGTTGGCCTCAATAGCGTCGCACTATGTTTAATGTTTTTTTCTGCCTCCACAGCTGCCTTCTGCCCATACGTCTATCGACAGTTTTATAGCAAGCTTCAGCGCAGATTGGCGGGCACGCAAATTTAGGAAGTCCACACACGGTAGCCCCGTTGACGGCAAGGATTTGCTGATCATGTGCGGCGATGATTCACACAATTTTCTGCAGCAGCAAGCAGCAGGAGGTACGGTGGCGGCGTATGAGCGGCTCGGGAAACACGCGTCCCCTGGTAGCAAGAAATAGTTGAGGTCACAGCTGCCCGCGCGCTGTAACCGCTACGAGGAGCGGAGGCGCGTATATGCGTGCCCGACGCGTAGACGTCTCGTTGATGAGATTGAGAAGACGTCGAGACAGGTTTTCGAGCCCGTTCACAACCATCAGGCAACCGCTGTAAGCGGCGGCAGCGCGACGCTACTTTGGTCCGAAAACGAGAGATTCTCATCGTGCAGCGTAAACAGGCTGACAGTATCTCGCGTCTCAGAAGGCAGACGGTGCCCCCAATAATCGCGGTTCTGTGACTGTGCCTTGCGCATCGCGGCACTCACTCGTAAACGGTGCAGGAGCGGGAAGGGTGGCACGGATTAAAGTAGATGCCGAGCAGTGCACAGTCAGGCCACGGCCCATACGGCGTAACTACAACAGTAGTTCTGAAAGGCAAGGGAGTTAGGCCCACATGTATTTCTCTCGCCTTGACAGGGGTGTGTCCTGCGGTACTACTGTGCTACGGAAGAGTAGCCAGAAGACAGGTCGGAGGCCGTGCCCGGCGCCTCGTTCCTGGGGGCCGCCGCAGTGTTGCTCAGGCATTTCAACCTCACGTATGCTAACGCCGAGCAGTCGTCCTGCCCTCGTAGGGAGTGGGGAGAGCAGGGGAGCAGCAGAGCCGAGCACAAGAGGCGGCCGCAGACTGATTTTGTGTGCATGTGCTGCATGCGGAGGGTTTCTGCACTAGGCTGTTTCCCTACGCGGCCCTGACGGCTGACACCGCCTCCAGCGAAAACCAGCACCTAGGCCTGTCGACTGCAGCAACGAGGAAGCACGATGCCTGCGGAAGTCTCGCCTCAGATCCAGGGTTACTCTCGCTACAACCTGGAGCTGCATGAGTTGCTGTTCCGTACACGTGCCATTTCTGGCAACTTTCTCTAGGATGCAGTGAAATTGGTATCCATGTGGACTCGCTCTCGTGATTCCTCTTTTGCTGCGGGGGGTAGGGAGCAGGAGCCAGAAACGCGCTATAAGCGAATCAGCCGTTATCCGACGAGCTCTGGGGCGCGGCTGCGAAAGCCTTTGCAGCGGGCAAAGTGGCTTCTTGCCAGTCACCGTGCTATAAGCAAATCAGTCGTTCTCCGACGAGCTCTGCGGCGTGGCGGAGGGAGCCTTCGCAGCGTGCAAAGCGACTTCTTGCCAGTCACCGTCACTCTGGGAGCAAGAGTAGTACTCCCGCGCTTCCCTCGGGCGGACAGCCCCTGGTTTCCCACTTGTCAACAGTGATGTACCCGCGAATTGTCACAATTTGCGAGAATCGCAGCACTGCACGCGCGAAGTGCGCCCGCGCACACGCGAAGTGCGGGTTTGGTGCTGCAGTGCAAGTAAAAGCAGCGAAGAGGGAGCGCCTCGTCGGGGCTGGAGCCTCTGTACGAGATGCAGGACATCATCACACGGCCTAGGCCCGTGCGGCAGCAACATTATACCCGCAGCTCGTACTAGCCCTCTACACTGCAGCTGAGGGGTAGAAGCAGCAGGCAGGAAGAAAGCGGCATAACAGGATTGAGGAAGGCAGACCCCGTGCAATTCAACTTCAGAACCACATCACACCAGGAAGCCCAGCGATAGCGAATTCTGCGCACAATCCCGGCTACAATGCTGCGAACACGCGTCGCAACCGATGGACCACGTTATTATTCCTCATCTAAGATATCAGCACAGACAATGTGAAATTCAGTGTTTCCTATAAGCCGGTACTCTGTCACTGGCAAGGGTTTCCAGCTAGAAACGTGGGACTGAGGCGACCCGTACGGATCCGGCTTCACATCAGTACGCCCCCAGCGTACAGCCCCTGCGGTGCCCCGGTGCGCCCAGAAGACGACGCTGCTTCTGCTGCGCGAGCCAGATACTTGTTTCTGCTTGAGGTTCTCCTTATTGCCAGACATTTTTGACGACAGATCACCTGGGAGTGCTGCTTTCCTGTCAGACGCAGTCTGCTCACTCAAATGCACTTCCTTAATGATGCCTACACTTTTGGCGCAGCCTTGTGCTGGATACTGTCCTCGGCAGGCGCTGTCGGGAAGGGCGTGATTCGTTTTCTGGATGTTTCAGCGGGGCCGCTGTAAGCACACAACCTCCCGTATGTTCATAGCTCTGAAGACGTCGGCTTGAGTCCACAATAACTGCCGCAGGTATGTTGAGCAGGATACTACGTTTCTCCTGTGCGCCCAGCAACGTGCTGCAGAAAGTCTTAAGGGACTTGGTGCGGATGTTGTACCGTGGGCAACACAGATGCTACTATCACCCTGCCTGTTACACGTTAACACTTCTGCGTGGGTGCCCGTGTGTACATGAGAGTTTGCCCTAGACAGACCCGAGTAGGATACGCTGCTGCGTCTTCGCATTTATGCACGTGTTCGCGTGAGGATAGGGGAGACTGCCCTCGACAGACTGTGGAAGAATCCGCCGCCGCCTGTTCGCGCTCACTGCCGCAGATGGGAAAACTTTACCCGCTTCTTTCTTCTTGCGATCTGGTGACACGCAACCGAACGGGCGCGTGTACTGCACATCCGAGCTATTGCAGGGTGCACGGTGGATGCAGTGCCGCGGAGAATAGCATTTCAAGCTTTTGAAAGTAGTTAGAAGACGCGTGTGTGGATACAAGCCAGTACATATCTGCAAAGCGATCAGCGTATGTTCGGCAGCACGAGCATGAGACTGCCTGGCGGGTGCAGACCTGGAGAAAGCGAAACACACACACACAGCCGCAGGTCTGCACGTGTGCCTCTACGTAGGGCAGGCGGCAGAAGATCTCCGGATCTCAGCCGATATTTTTGTTTGGAAGAAACGCCAGCGCTGCATATCATGCTCCCTGGTACGCAGGGAAATTCTTTTGCGAAGCAGACAGGCAGAACGCCTGCACACCGCTTGTTCACCCTTGCCGGCACAGACAGACACGCACGCAGCTCAGCCGAACCGGGCCTGTTGCATTTGGCCTCCTTCACAGAATACTTCGTGCGGAATCGGTCGCCCTTGTGGTCATCTCCAGTCAGGCTTGCTGTTCTTTTGCTTAGATTGTCGTTCCCGTGCCTGTCTCCACCTGTCAATTCGCGCAACAATATCGTGCTCGAATTATGCTGTTGTTTCGACTGCGGCTGCTACAGAACAGATCGAGAGTCCGATCTGTGCTCCCCAACGAAAGACTGCTGTTACTGTATTTCCGGCGAGCACGCTAAGAGCTTGCTTTCTTGGATGGAAGCGGTGTTGTTCGCTGTGAAGCGAAGCGGTACGGTAAGAGCTCAGTCCGTTACTACTTATCCCCTTGGCTTTCCTCAGAGCGGTGAGGTCTTCCCCGTAGTAGCTTGTCACTCCGAAACATACATGAACCTATGAGTGAACAGCACGGAAGGCGAAGACGTGCCCACACGCGTCCTCCACGCTTTATTATGCCTCGGCTCGGCCAGACCACGCTGTGGGGGGGGGGGGTGGGGGAGGGCGGGGAAAGATGCGCGCCCGTGCCTCGCTCTGTAGTGTTCACGGGCGAAAGGCAGCCTGTGCAGGAGGCAAAGTGCCCACAACCCCCCTTGAGGTCTAACGAGAGTTCTGGACACTCATCGAGCGTACAAACGGAACAGACGGAGGCTGTGCTGGTCATGCAGCGTAAACGCACTGCTGCAAATTCGCTTGCACATGACACTTTTCGGCTGCGCGATCAGCGAGGCCACCTGTATGTATGTACTTTATATACTTGCCAACGGCTTCTTTGACGCCATTTAGGTGTTCTTCCTCCGGCAGCGCTTGATTCCCCCGGTTCCAGCAGGTATTGCATGCACCGAGGTGCGCAACTCAGCAGCTTCACCCCGCTAGTGCTAGTTCGGTGGCTGCAGTTACTTTGAAAGTCCAGTGCGGGCCCGCAGCGATTACTTCATGCACCACGGGTACTGCTTGCCCAGTTAACAGGCTGTTGCGAGTGCCGACTGGTGAGAGCGCTGCTGACGCCGGCGCTGCTGCGTCCGTTCGACGCGATACGCAGTCACGGCGGCAGCACACTCACATGTGGCGGGGCGCTTCGCCTCCATGTAATCGACCCGAAAAGACAAGCACCCCAGCAAAACAACTGAGGTCATTGCGCGATACCCACGAGTAAACGCTCTACGAAGGGACCATGCTATGTGCCAAACCGGTGCTGTTCATCATTGAGTGTCCTGTTAAGGCAACGGTGCCAGCGCCGGTGCCAGGGGGTCGCAGACATCGGCGCCGACGCCCAGTGTGGGGCGCAGTCTGCAAGACAGCGGCCGAGGCGCTCGCTCGAGCTAAATGCTCGGAATGTTGGCGTTATTGTTGGCGGGCCCCTTGATGGAACCGCTCCTATTTGACATTCTACCGTTGTGAATAATCTTCCCACTGAAGCGCGCTGTTTGTGGGGGTCCTTCACTGCGTGGTCGGGCCACGGCAGTAGCCACTTTCGCCCCGGCGCCAAAGCCTCCAGTACTGCAGCAGCTCGGAGGACACCAGCAACACGCTGGCCCCCTCGAAGCGCTTCACAGCCTCTGATAGCAGAACGGCTCGGTGGCAAAGCCGGGCCGTGTATTCTACGCTCTTTGTCTGCTACCGCGATTGTATGTGTGGATGCGAAGGCGCAATGCCGCCCAGAGAGACCTACTGTTGGTAGGATCAGGATAATGCTGCGGGCGCGGAGGCCACCCTCTACTTAATTGACCAGCGTGAGATCTCAAAACAGCAGAACCGGGGAGCCGCGCTGTGTCTCGCGGCACTCGCGCTGGTTGGATCTCCAGCCTCCATATGAATGGTGTCCAAGGCGTTGCTGAAGACGGAAGGAAGAGCGTCACGGTCGGCCTCATGCCGCACGCCGGCGGGCCTCGCGCGGCACCTCTATATACTGAGGGTGTTTCAGCTGTTGTGCCACTTTATAGTGGTAGCGAAAGTGGCGACTTTCAAGACTTGAAGCGACGACAAGGTGAAGCCTCCGTGTAACGGAACCTTCACGGGCGCCGCTCTCCTCTTGTCCCCCCTCTGAGGGGCCCCCGGCGCTTTGGCACCAGTGTCGGAGACGTGCAGGCTCAGCAGCTGCCGAGCAGACACAGCACCGCCATGGCAGGAGGCACGGCGGCAGGCCTTGTAGTAGTCCGTAAGCCAAGTCAGGAGTGTGTGCTAGCGGCGCCGGTGCCACGGTCAAGCTCTTCACAATGCGTTGCGGCTAGAAGGGGAAACGTGAACCCCTTGAATATCTCAGAGGAGGCACACGGTCCTACCAAATCGTTGCTTGCTCCACCGGCTGCGTCCGGTAGAGGCGCAGCTGGAATGTGGATGTCCTTTGAAGCGTCTTCACCTCTTCGCCCTAGGCGACGATCTGTCACTACTTGTAGGAGCAGGAATACATCCCACTAGCCAGAAAGACTTTTGTTGTTGCCTCTGCGGCGCAGGCTCATGCAGCTGCGTCGTCAACAGGTCCGTCCCCTTCTTGTCGTTACGCTGTATCAGGCGCTAGTGATCATCGGTTTAGCAGAGCAGGGGCGCCGTCTGGTTCCCACGACCATGGGACACCTAGTAAGCCGTCTGCAGGGAAGGCTGCAGCCCATTTCTCGGGACTGCACAGACCTCGGCAGCAGCAGAGATACAGCATTCGACGTTTCTTATGCCGCTCGGAACCGCAGCAGCAGCTGCGGTCGCAGCATCCCCGACAGCATCCCACCGGAAGCTCGATACG